TCCTACCACATCCTAAGAGCGAGTTGCCTTTGGTTGCTCCCTGTCTTCTATTGTAGAATTCCCGAGTTGTCTGATCTTAAGCATTCCTTCTATTCGTAGTTTTAAAACAAATTTGCCCACTGTATATTGGGATCGTTGTGTCATTTTTCTTCTTGGGCTCTATTTAGAGCCAATGATGAAATACGTGATCCTGGTTCTTTTTAAAACTCAGTCTTGGAAAGTCAGTCATAGCTTGGCAAACCAACATAAGAATTCTGCCAAGGCCTCCGATGTCTAAGTCACCTGTACTGGTAGAGACGTTCAACCTCAGATTACCAATTCTGTCATAACCACATGCTTGTATGCAGCGCCACTGTGGATACCTCAGGTTGACTCTTTTGGATGATGGCAAGATTATTTTGAAGTGGACAGGGCAGAGAAGATACACAGGATTAGCTCCAGATCCAGGATGCTGAGTTTATGGCAAGCATCCATCCTCACTGGCTGAGGTCCCACTCTGGTTGGTTGGTGTCCATGCCATACTGGATTTAGCTGTCAAATAGTACGACCATCACTGGCATTTCCCACATGAATGCCCAACACAATCGATCAGAATTATTTTAAGTTAATTGTTATATTTCTTTCTAATCTCATCTACACATACCACTAGAAAATCTAATGAGATTTTTTTCTAATTAGATTTCTAAATGTTTCATTTTAAAGGTTATCTGTCTCCTAACCATTATTTTTACATGTCACCAAGCATGTTTAAAAATACCTATGTAAATAATGTAAATACCTTTGCTGTTTTCAAAGAAATGTGCTCAACTTTATGAATTTAAATAAATTGTACATTTTCTTTTTACTTATATTCTTTATTTTTCTGTCCAGTTCTATACTCACTAGAATATTTTATTCTGTTTTGTTTTGTTTTATTTGAGACAAAGAGTCTTGCTGTGTCACCTGGCTTGGAGTACAATGGTGCAATCTTGGCTCACTGCAAGCTCCGCCTCCCAGGCTCAAGTGATTCTTGTGCCTCAGCCTCCTGGGTAGCTGGGACTAACAGGTGCATGCACCACACCTAGCTAATTTTTGTATGTTTTGTAGAGATGGGGTTTTGCCAAGTTGCCCAGGCTGGCCTCAAACTCCTGGCCTCAAATGATCTGCCCACCTGAGCCTCCGAAAGTGTTAGGATTATAGGCGTGGGCCACTGTCCCCAGCCCCTAGAATCTTAATGTCCCTTTTTACACTCTTGCCAAAAAGAGGAAAGTTTCTGCTGGTTAATTGAGGTCACAGACCCCCAGATCAAGATGTATTCTGAAGGTGGCTAAGGAAGGAAAAAAGAACAGGGAGTAGTGACTGACCTAGTTAGGACTACTGTTCATACCAAGAGGATTCTAGATACTAGATTGATTGACCGATTGAGATGGAATCACTTTGTCACCCAGGCTGGAGTGTAGCAGTATGATCTCGGCTCACTGCAATCTCCACCTTCCGAGTTCAAGCAATTCTCCTGCCTCAGCCTCCTGGGTAGCTGGGATTACAGGCACACATCACCACACCCAGCTAATTTTTGTATTTTTAGTAGAGATGGGGTTTTGCCATGTTTGCCAGGCTGGTTTAGAACTCCTGACCTCAAGTGATCTGCCTGCGTTGGCCTCCCAAAGTGCTGGGACTACAGGCCTGAGCCACTGTGCCCAGACTGTTCTAGATATTTTAAATATTTTTCTGGAGTTAATAACAGTAATACCAGCAGTACCTACCATTTGCTGTATGTGATTTGCCATGGACACTGTGCAATGCTTTATACACAATGGCATATTTGAGTCAATGTGATGAATTTATCTTGATGTTTGTTTTGGTTGATTATTGCACTGTGTGATCTGATTATGTGGGGAATTTGCTCAGATATCGGCTGCTCTCTGAGCCAGTCCCTCCTGTATTTTATGACCTGTGAAGCCCTGTGCTGCTTCCTGCTGAGCCATACTTTTTTATTGAGCCCTGCATTGTGAAGGCAGAGTGGAAGAGGTATTTATAGAGGATCCTTGTTGCTCTTCTGGAAAACCTGTGTCACGTGGTTGCCCCTGCCTCCCTGGAATGAGCATCAATCAGGTGCATTATCACAGAGTGACCTTGGGGCTGGCCCTTCTGGTCTAAGGCACTGAGTACCTGAGTCATGAGGGTGTCCAATGAGCAGAGAGGACATCATGGGCCGGAGTGTCAGGGCCAGGGCCATGCAGAGCAGAGGTACCTGGAGCCTGACCTCGAATCTAGGTATGGATCCACAACAACTAGGACATAGGGAGAGAGACCCTAGGGTGAGGACAGCATCAGGATATCACAAGTTAGGTTTAGAGAAGGGAGAACAGATTAGCCTGTCATGGTGGGAGCTCTGTTTGTGTGTCTTGGAAGGGGAGTGAGGAAGAAGTGGAGATAAAATCAGAATTATGAGGGAGAAGCCTGCACACTCCAGGGGCCCCAGAAATCATCAGCCCCTATAGGAGCCAAGAGGCCAATTCAGCTGTGTCCAGGTCATGTATTCAAAAAGGGTTCCACTTGGTTGCTACATATTTGCACTTCTCATTGGTTGCTTTAATTATGAAATCCACCTGTCTATGTAAAACTCACAGGGCAGGGATTCTACACTGCTGAATCAGTCCAGGAAAAAGACAAGGAAGCCGGGAGTCCTACTGGTTGTTCCCATATTCTCATTTATGATATCTAGGTATAAGAAAGAAGGTGCCCTCTTCATGGTGCTTGGAATTTTCCATGGACCTTGGGACCTTGTTTAGGAGTATATCCTAGAATAATGCCAGGCACTCAGCAAGTGCTTGGTAAATGCTGTTTACTATATGCAGTGAAGTTTTATGATAAAGAAGCAATGAGTTTGTATCCTGTGCATTAGGCTCTGTTGCATTTTCAACCTTATCCTGGTGCCTCTACTATCCCTACTCTCTTCTGCATCACCCACATCGTCGCGTCTCTTGGCTGCTCATCTTGGTTCTTGCCATTCGAGCCCCACCTCCTTCCTCAGGTCCCTATGTCACCCACCCTCCAACCATTTATACCCTTCTTGTTTGTCACATCTCCTGGAAAACAGATAGGGATTGTGGGTTCCTGTGACCTCACCAATAGAACTTGATTGGGTGGGCCTGTCTGTCCTTCCCTCAGTTACTTGAAGAATCTCAGTGAGCGTTTTCCTGTTGCACCTTGACCAAAGCAAAAATGTATCAGATAAGCATATCTTGAATTAGCTTGTATTTTTTATTCTGCTCCCTTGCTAAACACAGTATGGTAGTTGCAAATTACCATTGACTGTTGAACAAGTTGGGAGTTAGGGATGCTAACCCCCAACCCCCCCGCCCACACACACACACACACACATAGGAAAAAAAAAAAATCTGTGTAGGGATCAGCGCAGTGCCTCACATCTGTAATCCCAGCATGGTGGGAGGCCAAGACCTGCAGATTACCTGAGCTCAGGAGTTCGAGACTAGCCTGGCCAACATGATGAAACCCCATCTCTACCAAAAGTACAAAAATTAGCTGGACATGGTGGGACATGTCTTTAATCCCAGCTCCTCAGGAGGCTGAAGTAGGAGAATCGCTTGAACCCGGGAGGCGGAGATTGCAGTGAGCCAAAATCAAGCCTCTGCACTCCAGCCTGGGAAACACAGCAAGACTCCATCTCAAAAATAGTAATAATAATAATAATAATAATAATAATAATAATCTGTGCAGAACTTTTACCTCCCCACAAACTTAACTACTCACAGCTACTGTTGACCACAACACTTACAGATGATATGAACAGTCAATGAACACACAGTTTGTATGTTATATGTAACATATACTGTAGTCATACAATAAGTTAGCTTGAAAATACCAAATGTTCTTAAGTAAACCAGAAGGAAGAAAAATTCTGTTCCCTATCTATTAAGGAGAAGTGGATCATAAGGGTCTTCAACCTTGTCCACTTTGTGTTGGATAGGTAGGGAGGGAGAAGAGAAGAGGTTGGCCTTGCTGTCTCAGGAGCGGCAGAGGAGGAAGGACATCTATGTATAAGTCAACCTGCACAGTTTACAGCCGTGTTCTTCAAGCCTCCACTGTCACCGCACTCCTTACTACTTAATTATTTCCTTCCAGCCTCTCCATGCTGGTTTCTCATAGGCTCAAAGGAGGAGTTGATGAATGAACGAAACTTCCCTTCCAGTTTTTCCTGCATGGATCTCCTTTCCCCTGCTCATCTCCCTAGACTGCATCCACTTGGAAAGATGAGAAACATGGTTACTACTTTTCAGGGCTAACGGTGGAAACATGCTCAGCACAAGTTTTAGAAAACACAGTGTTAGCCCTATTGAAACACTAGACCTGCATTTATTAAGCAGCATCTCTAAGAAGCTGTGAATTAAACTTTAAATCACCACACTAAATTTTCCTGAAACCCCACAAAATTGCACTCCTCATCAGGTGTATTTATTTTTTGTGCTTGCTGTAACATGGTACCATATACTTAGTGGCTTAAAACACCATAGATGTATCATCTTACCTTTATGGAGATCAGAAGTCCCAAGTGGATTTTGCACATCAGTATCAATGTGTCAGCAGGGTCACTGTCCCTCTGGAGGCTCCAGAGAAGAATCCATTGCCTCACCTTTTCCAGCTTCTAGCAGCTGCCTGCACTCCTTGGCTCATGGTCCCTCCTCATAGCACCTTCTAAACTCTTCTAACTCTACTTCCATCATTACAGTTCTCCCCTGGAGCTTATTCCCCTGCCTCCCTCCTCCACATATAAGGACCCTTGTGATTGCCATGAGTCCACCAGGATAAAGATCTCCCATCTCACCATCCTTAACTTTACTTCGTCTGCAAAGTCTCTTTTGCCATGTAAGGAAACATATTCACAGGTTCCAGAATGAGGGTGTAGACATTTTGCAGGGAAGTCACACGGTTACACGCTGAGACTTCTCTTAAAACCTGAGTATCAAAGTAAACTTACTAATCCCTTGTTTTCTTTTCAGATGCAGAGAGAATTTGTTTATGCAAGAGGAGATGGCCCTGGGGCCTCTCGTCCTGGATCTACTGCTCATCCACCCCATGCAATTCCAAATTCCCCACCGTCTACTCCAGTGCCCCATTCCATGCCCCCCTCCCCATCCAGAATTCCTTATGGGGGCACCCGCTCCATAGTTGTTCCTGGTAATGCCACCATCCCCAGGGACAGACTCTCCAGCCTGCCAGTCTCCAGACCCATCTCTCCAAGCCCAAGCGCCATTTTAGAAAGAAGGGATGTCAAGCCGGATGAAGACATGAGTGGCAAAAACATTGCAATGTACAGAAATGAGGGTTTCTATGCTGATCCCTACCTTTATCATGAGGGACGGATGAGCATAGCCTCGTCCCATGGTGGACACCCGCTTGATGTCCCTGACCACATCATTGCATATCACCGCACCGCCATCCGGTCAGCGAGTGCTTATTGTAACCCCTCAATGCAAGCGGAAATGCATATGGAGCAATCACTGTACAGACAGAAATCAAGGAAATATCCGGATAGCCATTTGCCTACACTGGGCTCCAAAACACCCCCTGCTTCTCCTCACAGAGTCAGCGACCTGAGGATGATCGACATGCACGCTCACTATAACGCCCACGGGCCCCCTCACACCATGCAGCCAGACCGGGTCTCCCCGAGCCGCCAGGCCTTTAAAAAGGAACCAGGCACCTTGGTGTATATAGAAAAGCCACGGAGTGCTCCAGGATTATCCAGCCTTGTGGACCTCGGCCCTCCTCTAGTAGAGAAGCAAGTTTTTGCTTACAGCACGGCAACAATACCCAAAGACAGAGAGACCAGGTAAGGTGCAATGAAGGTGATTGAGGGTGGTACCTGGGCCCGTGTGTCACTGTGGGCTGCTCTACAGGGGTCAATCCAACAGAATAAATGTCTGAGCACCCATCTCTGCAGCATGCCCTGTGACTGCTGCAGGAGTCACAGAGTGGTGGCAAAGTCACCGTCGTCTGCAGAGTTTCTAAATTGGCAAGGGGTTACCAGCCATTAAGCCATGTTCAAGAAGACAGGTGCACCAACAATAGTACTCAGTCCCTGCGCCTCTAGAGCATAGATCTAACAGCATTGTCATTTGTATAAATCTGAATAATTTGGAAGAAAATTGTCATTAGCAGAAGCCAGATGAAAAGACCAAGAGGTCATAATAATTGATCTGCTACAGCTAAAAATAAGCAGTGAGTGGTTTCAGTTTTCACTGTTGGAAATGGCAGGTTGTGTTTTTCCCTGTGGAATACAATTTTGTTTTCTCATCTGGTTGTGGAAAGTGGAAAGAATGTGTCTGTTTTCTAGGATGATAACATTTGAATTTGCATGAAAATAGAATGGCTTAGATTTGATATTCATCTAGGAGTAGTGCTGAAATCAGCAAAATTTTTCTAGTGAAAGACTCTGGGGATTTGAATTTCTTTTTAAATAGATATGTTTTATAATTTACCAATTCAGAAGCTTCCTACTCTATCTTGAAAACCAAAGTTCATATAGTAATAGAAAAGCTAATTTTAATAAAGAGAATTTCTCTAGCCTGAATTGGTTGAAAGAAATCAACATAATAATCATAAAAATCTAGCCAAAGAAGTTGAGTCCAAAAGAGATTAAGCATGCTGCTACCTATTATTATATATGAATCAAGGGGTATGAAAAATAAGATATCCAGATACTCAGTTATTCAATACCTTATTAGAACCACTGCTTCTCACTAAAAAAAAGGTTAATATTATTTACTGTTACATACCATGTAAAAAGAAGGCCAAAATTGTGAATGGAATGTGACCTGTCCACCTTATTGTTTTCAACACAAGTCAGAAGGCCCTGAAGTCCTCTTTAGCCCAGTTTTATTATGAAAGGGCTATCCCTTCTTATTTTTTCGGTTACAGGGAATATCATAGCAGAAAGATTTCAGGAGATGGAAAGAGAATGAACATGAAAGTTTTGGGATCATTAATGAAACGACAAGTTCTAACTCTCTTGTATAGCTACAATAACAACAGCAATGACTGGTCTGATGATGCAAGACTAAGAAAAAATAGGGATTGGAAAATTGTATTCATTCTCTCCTTCCGGAGTCCTCATGAAGTGAAATTCTAAGCATCAAAGAAAGGGACTCTTCCCATCACCACAGACAGCTAAGTTGTATAGGATAAACACTCATAGTGGTTCATTGGAACAGACCAATGTGACAACTGGAGAGGAATCTACCAAGATGTGTCATAAGGCTTGGAAGCCTGTGCTGTGTACTTCACAGAAAGGATAAAAGGATAACACACCTGTCCCCTGTGGTGGGCTGTGAGGTGCTGGTTGGGAAATGGTGTGCCACTGAGGGGATAGGACTTAGGGGAATAAGAATTTAGTTCAGGAAACAATAAAAATGACCCATCTCCTGCATCTAATGTTGAGAGCCAGAATCCATCCTCCCCATCATCCCCCTGCCTCCCACACTGACCAGTCTTAGACAGAAGAGGATCAGGAGCTTGATTTTGCCATGCTCATATTGAACTGTTTCCACCCTAATTCTTGGATGATAAAAACCTGAATTTGCATGAAAACAGAATAGTTTAGATGTAATATTCTTTGGGGAGTAGTGCTGAAATTAGCAAAATTTTTGGCCAACGATGGTGTCCACCTTCTTCCCAGAACCTAGCTCAGTGTCACCCATGTAATTACCACATATACACAACTTAATGTATATCCTTGAGCCTCACTTATCAAGAGATTTAGTTATGGAGAGAATAAAACAAAGAAACCGTCTGCTGACCTGTGGCATCTTCTCTGTATGGGCTCAAAGTCCTGAAGGATTTTAGCTTTTGGTACTATAGCTATTCTTTTAGGGCCTCCACTCCTTTTTTTAAAAAAGATCTGCCAACGTCAGAGGCTTCCATTTTATAAAATTTTGGAAAATTATTTGGATTTCAGTTTTACATATTAGAAAACCTTTTTAGAAAATATAAATTATTGTATCTCCAGATTAATAAATATAAGAAAAACTAACTAAATAGATGAATGTTCACCTAAAATACACTGTCATTATCACCACTGTATTCTGACATATGATTATAATTATGAATATAATTTTACATGTTCACATTTTTCTTTCCCCATAATGTGCAATAGCAGAGGAAGAATTTTATCTCATACATCTTGCCAAGGTGACTCCTCACCTATTAATCAGCTTATCTCCAGAGGGTGGAATTGGAGTGCTTGGGTGTATGTGGGCTGGTTAGATTCTCTTTTCCTAGAGACCTGCACATAGACACATAGACACACAAAGACACACACATACCACATGGACACACAAAGAGACACAGAGACACACATGCCACACACGAGACAGACACACCTACACATTGCCCCATGCAGACACGTACACACACTCACTCTCTCTACATTTAGAATCAGTATTGTGGAAAGACATAAACACTCCCCACTAACTCCACCCAGGTGCATGTCAAAGGTAAAGAATAATTCTCCAGTCAAAAGAACTTGAGTCTGGAACTTTTGCCCTTAGCACTCCCATATGCTTCCCCCATTGTTTCTTACATGGGACAAAGTGACAAGGGTAGAGTTCATGCCATACTTCCTACTCCAAGGACAGCTCAGAATCTGGCCCTGAACTCTTTTAGATATCTTGGTAATTAGGCTGATGTGTAGTATTCCTGGGGAATGTGTATGAAGGAGGTGAATGGCATCTATCATTCATTGAGAGCCTTTTATGAGCCAAGCACCATGTGAAGTGATTTCTATATATTATAAGATGTAATCATTATGACAACCTAGTGAGGCCTGTACTATCATCATCTCTATTTTACAGATGGAGAAACTGAGGCTCAGAGAGGTTAAGTAACTTGCCTAAGGCCACAAAGCCAGTAAGTGGCATAAAATGTCCAGGTCTATTAATGAATCCTAAATATTCCGTACTGTTCACCACTGTGCACTATTCTGCCTTGCAAATAAGAATTATGAGCCACACTTTCATACAGCAGAGCAGTTAATTCAGGAGTGAATTCTGAACATTTTAACCAGAATTCTTCAAAAATTGTTTCAGGACTAGATGCTAAGTAACTGCTCCTAAAGGATGTTTACAATCATAAACACAGTAAAATTTGCATAATTATGCTGCTAAATATATACATGCCATTTTCAATATCACTGCCCTAGCTAGTGTATTAGCACAATTATGCAAAAATAGGGAAGAAAGAGGACAACATTCTTGATGGACTTTCCTTTCTAATGCATCTGAGTACTATGTCAAAGAAAAATGTTAAAATCAGGAACATCAGAAACAATTACAGAAGCACAAAACTGTAGTCCATTGTCTCATCAATACCATGATGTTGTTTAGAAATACTTAATCTGTGTAAGTATTGTTAAAGAGTTTTCAAGTTACGCTTTAAAGGTTAACTTCATGAGCACAGGGCCCTATAAAGAACCAATCCAATTTCTGTTGCAATTTCATAACATTAAAAAGCAAATAAATCTGAGAGTGTTTTTTATATGAGACTCTCAAATGACATTTTACATCGAAGATGTGAAGCTGCAGAAACACAGGAGGGAAGCTGAGAAATCAGTGGCTGTGCTTTCTGTTGGCACCGCTGGGTTCCTCTGCTGTTCTGAAGAGCACTTCAATGTAATAGCCCAAATAACTGCGGGACGTCAGAAATCAGAGGGAAAAATTCTTCCTTCCACATTCATACTTAGAAGACATCCAATGGTAGCTATTTTGAAGGAATATGATTTGGTAACAGCTCTATTGACTTGAAAATAGCTTGCTCAAGACTAAGTAATTGAGTCTTGAGTCATATATAGTCGCGTACCTTGTGCTAATGAATTTGGCATCTCTTCCTTTTTAAAGATGCTTCAATGAGCATCTAGTAATAATAAATTGCATCGAGACTATCTGGAGAACACGATGTCTGTGGTATAACATTCACATGATGGTAGAGGTCTCCACCCAGGAATACCAGGGACTTTGGGGTACAGTGACAGATGCTGTGACTTTCAGAACAGCCATACTAGTGTCTGAGCTTCTAGAAAAGAAAAGAATCTTGAGTAATAAAGTGGCTTTACCCAAGTGACTTCCATTCAGCTAGGACTGCAAGGAGAGAATAGTCCTAGTGACTAGGAGAGACTGCCCAAGGAGGCCATGTGTGACAAAGGGCTTAGCGTCTGAGGCTCTGTCTTCTCTAGGTTGTAAAATCACTTCATTAAACAGCATCATTATTTCTATTCATGGCACAAAAAACAGCCCTTAAGAATTGGAAAATTCTGGGACATTTATGCTTTGCTATTTTCTATTTGAAGTTTGGATCGTATATTGTATTGTAAAAGATCTTTAGTGAAATAACACTCAAAATTCAAGAGTGCTCATTGCAAAGTGACTTCAAAATGTATAGCAGATTCCTCCAAATTGACTTTTCAGGGCACAGTAAACTTGAAATTAGATTGTATTTTTACACTATTCTATAGATAGGGCAGCTAAATGCAACAAATTAGTATAGAGTTACACTAGGTAGAAAAATTTTGCCCCAGCTGGGCACCTATATATAGAGAAAAAACAAGCAACTTGAGTTTTGTTGTGATGTTTGAGGCTTGGTAGACTTAGAGGGCAGAACCTTCTGTATACTGGAGGAGGCCCGTATGGCAACTGGAAGCTTGTGTCTGCTTTTAATCATTTCCCATCACATTCTCATTTTATTAGGATTCAGTGTTACCGTGTTGGTAACATTTAGGGAGGAGACGAATCCTTGGTTAAACAGTTCATCGAATGAATGTCTAAATTCGGATTTATGTCA